CATCCTTTACAATTCAGTTTTTGCATCACATATTTAAAGAGGCTTTCCCTGTTTCACTCTCCTATAGCATCCTATAATTTTCCTTTGTAGTATTTACCATACATATAATTATCATTCATGGTTATAATTTCTTTGCTCCAACATATTCATCTTGACTGTAAGGGCAACTTATGCCTATTTTGGTCACCATTGTATCCCCAGACCACCTTCTACAGCTCCTGGTACATAGCAATCAGCAATCACTATCCCCTTCAACAATGAATGCTGTGTACAGACATCTGTCTAGGTTTCCAGGTTATAGAAAGTTAAACAAATGCTACCACATTAATGGAGGAAGTAGGCAATAACAACACTTAACAAATATATGGTATAAAGGTGGGATTTAAAGTACTCTACAGGATATAAAACAGTGTGAGGAAATAGAGAGTTTTGAAGGCCAGGTCACTTTCAGTAGAATATTCAGATATGAGATCTCTGTGGAAGTGAATTTTGAGCAGAAAGCTGAATGAGGCAGAGAAAGGATATTAATATTTGGTAGAAGAGTGTTTCCGGCAGAAGGAAGAAAGAACAGCACAAAGGTTATCTGGTGATATTATGCTTGTTATAGTCAAAAAACAGCAAGATCAGTGTGGCTGGAATTGTGTGAACAGGGAAAACAATGATAGGAAATATGATTGGAAAGAAAGTTAGAAAAAGACCATGGGTAGTCTCGTTGAATGACTGAATTCAGGAGTACTGAGAATCACAATTCTAAATATCTATGAGAACTGAAGAAATTAATTAATATATTAATTTCTGATAGGTGCTGATAATTAACAGGTGCTGATAATTTGTTGGGACAAAATGAATCTCAGTGGAAAGAATTGTCCTCTATCACAAAAGTTGCAATATAGTTGTGAAGACCAGCCATAAAGACATAGAAGATAATTAATTGCATAAGAAAATTTATGGTGACATCATATAATCCTAAGGAAAGGAACACTAAGAATTTAAATGAAGAAGAGAATGTCATGAAAAGTTTTTAAATATTTCTCAGGCATGGATGAACTTACCTGGAAACTGAGGGGTTATTTAGAATTAGATACCAGAGATTCCAGACAAGTGAAGTATTGTGAGTAAAGTACAAGTAAAGGGAATTTACAGCACATATTTAGAAGAGGTGAAATTAATTCAATGCATTTTTAGAAAAAATGCCCCGGTAGTTGTTCAGAAGTTAGGTGTGCAGAAATATGCCTATCAAAATATGGAGTTTAAACCTGCTATTTGTGGGTATGTGTTTAAGACATTGTTGAATTAGGAAAGCAAGCCATTCTGTGTTCTAAGTAAGACAGATTTTGGATAGGGAATTTGAGACCTAAATGGTCTTTGAAAGGGCCATGGAAGTGAAGGTCAGGGAACTTTCTGCTAATGATCTCAACCTTCTGTTCAATGTGAAACGTTCTGAAAAGTACTATGTAAAGGCACTGAGTTTTTCAAGAACCTCCAGAAGTCTCCCATCAACTGTCTCAGTCTACAACAGTGAAGCCAATTGCTTTTAAAGGCTCACTTAGAAGTTACTTCAAGTTTCCATTGTCCACATATCCGCCTGAATCTGTGTGTGGAGGAATAATGGCTTTTTCTCTTCCACCTTCTATACCTTACCTGAATGTCTCTTATGGCAAACTGTAACCCAGAACTGTATGGAGAGAGGATTTCTTAAAGAAAATGAAGATCCATGAGTCTCCTCTAAATGTAAAGCTGACCTTGGAAGGAAGTAAGGCTGATGATCAGTAGAAATAGATAAACCAGCATAGAAAGAAAAATCAGAAGACTGAAGTAGAAGTTTGTACTACTAAAATGAAAAACAGAATAAAAAAAACAAACACTGCTGTTTTAAATGAAAGCTCATTCTATCAAATACATGAAGATACCTATTTTCATGCCCTGATATTATTCAGCCACATGAACCAAATTTTTTTCAGCTGTTCTTCATATGACATGGTTATAAAATGTTTATTATTCTTGTTATTCTCATCTATTTCTGTTTGTCACTCTCTAATGTTTTTAAAATGTGATGTCCAGAAGTAAGAACAGGTCTCATAATGAACTCTGACTAATAGAGAACTATTTCCTTCAATTATTTTGTTGCTATCTGTATATTCACACAGCCAAAGTTTAAATTAATGTTTTAGAATATATTTCACACTTCTGCCTAGTATTGAGCTTGCAATCAGAACTTTCCAGTATTTTGCACATGAACCACTGCTAAGCAGGGTCACCTTCCCTGAATCAATTTTGGAATCATCACACAAAATCAATAGCTGAAGCCAAATAAATATGTGAAATTTCCAAAGGAAACATATCAAAACATGTAAAAAGCAAAGGCATACAGACAGCAAGTTAAGATCTGGATGTTGAAGATAAAGTTCATATCTAAAACATTTTGACAAGGAAATTGAAAATTAGAAAAGAATGTTACTTATGAAATAAGCAAAGAATGCATATTTAGACCCAATAAATAAATTAATTCAGTACCAGAGGTAGTAGGAAATCTGAGATGATTTGTTACTGAAGTAGTTAAGAAGAAGAAAAAAATAACATAATAAATTTGTTCAAAAAGCACAAATTAAGTAGATTAGATGAGGAGATATGCAGGATTAAACACGGATCAGAAGCAAATATGTGGTGAGAAATTATAATACCAGATACAAACACTCACTGTAAAGTGTTAGAACTGAGAGAAAATAACAATCTAGGAAGACAACTGGTCAGTAAATTTTCTTCATTAAAATAGTAACCCAGGAGCATCGGGAAAACACTGGAGCTTCACGTCTCCAAAAGAATTTGAAACCTTTTTAATTTCAACAGACATGACACAACATGTGATCAATTCATAGTCTCAAAAATAAATTAAAATAGTTATTTAAGATGTTGAGTGTCTTAGCTAGAACTCTTATATGTTTCTGTTTTACATATATTTTACTACAGAATATAAATTTTAATGTGTTTAAAAATATATTGTTACTATTGTGTGATAAATTGCAGATCAGTCCAAGCAGCTGCAAGAAAAACGTTTTTATTATTAAATTAATAATTCAGAACTAGACCAGAAGGAACCATTATCCCTCTGGATATGGAGGCATATTGTTCTTTGGCTTAGCTAAGCCAGGAACTCCTAAGAGTAATGAAATGTGCATAATTAAATGACTGCAGTTAGACTTTGCTATTTTGGTTGATGAAGTATTTGTTTACATTGATTTTATACGGTTCATATAATTTCAATAGTAGTACTGTGCCCTGTCATGGAATATTTTGAAAAAAGAATTTGAAAATAGAATTACAAAACATGTATCTCCTTCCTTTTATTTCTACATTTTCATTTAATTTACTAATCTGCTTAACAGATTAAAGAAGAAAATTAAAATAATATTGAGATTCTGTCTAAGAATAACAATGAGAAGACTTTTAAATGGCTGACTGTCTTTAGTAATTTGAAAAGGTGTTAAAGCTCAAAATAAGAACTTTTAAATAAATAACAACTATAAAACGTAATGAGATTTATTTCATATAAATTCTTCCCTTGAGGTGAAGAGAGAAATTTCTATACTTTACAATTAGTTGTTTCAATAATAAAAATCAAATCATTAATAATGTTAATAATAATAACAATAGCAAAAATGGCTAACATTTTATATAGAGATGGCTACATTCCAGGTACTGTATTAAATGATTTTAGAATGATTATTTCTAGGGTATGAAATGATGGGTGTGAAATTGTTGTAACTGATTACTCGATTCTAGAATGGAGATAACATTAAAAGAAACACACTACGAAGTACACATACTTAAAGTCTAAAATTCAAATGACTTTTAATATCTTTTATAAAGCTGTTAAAATACCTACACATATACATAGTTGTGTATATATAGCAAAAAATTAAAGAGAAAAATATGAAATAGGCTTATAGTATTTTAAGACTATTAACTGATTGATATTCAGTCAGTTTAAACTCTTTATGAAAATGGTACAGAAAGTCAAATTAAAAAATAATAGATCAGTTGATCTATATATCTAAATATTTTCCCTTAGTATAGTAGTACCCAGGAGTTCTGAAATCCAATATTCAATATAACAATAAGTACTTTAAATATACAGTATAGATATGATTTTTTTCTCCACAAATCATACAGGCAAATCCATACCTAACATATCATGCTATGATAAAAAGTGTATTAAATAGCTGGAGCTGCCATAACAAAATACCATAGACTGTGTGGCTTAAACAACAGGAGTTTATTTCTCATAGTGCTGAAGGCTGAGAAGTACAACATTTAAGGTATAGGCTGATTGGGTTCCCTGGTAAAGGCTCTATTCTTAACTGGCAGATGTCTATCTTCTCACTGTGTCCTCACATGGTAGTGGAAGAAAGGAAGCATACTCTCCAGTGTCTCTTCTTATAAGTGCACTAATATCATGAGGGACCAACTATGATGACTTCACCTAAACCTAATTACCTCCAAAGTCCCCATCGCCAAATAACATTTGCAGTAGGACTTCAACATTGAATTTTGGTTGATAGAACTCAGTCCATGGCAGAGAGGTTGTTAGAAAAATTCAAGGAAAAAACTTTTGTGGCATAAACTTCTAGCTCTTAACTGGAAAGAAAAGGGAAAAAATAGGGCAGCTGTGGAAGTGGATGCAAAAAGATAGATATGCCAGGAGCAATTAAGAAAAAAATCTCTTAAGCGCTATTTAAAATCCCGAGTAGTCAATATCTATATCTATATTGCCTATAAAATGTAAATAAAACTATAACAATAATAAAGTCCATTGTGTGATGTCATTTTTTACTTTGAGATGATTAAATATTATATGGTACATTGTGTCCCATGATAAAAATGTGCCAAAGATGCAAAACTAATTTTAAACTTTAAAAAGATTTTCAACACAACAACAGTAATTATTTTAACCTCTGATAATACAGCTATGTCTCTTTTATTTAAAAATTAAATTTCCTTACCATTGTGTAGCTGTGGGCCACCTTCATTAATTCAATGCATCCTTGAGCATCTGCAAATGCTCGGATTCCTAAACAGTTAGATGGATGCAAGAGCTTCATGAGGAAATGACAGCACACTTCTACTACTTGTGGAAGCTGAAGAAGGGAAGCTGCAGCAAGAAGGTTTTCAATGGTTTCTTCCTTTAATTCCAAGCAACCTAAATATTAAGTGAAAAGAATTATGAAACTGTTCAAAACATGAAATAACATGTACCATTCTATTACTCAAAACATTAGTCCAATTTTCTAGAAATGATCTGAACCTAAATAGATAATCCAAATAAATATAACTCATGAAAAGCCAGCAATTGTTTTCAATATCTTGCATTTCTTAGTTTGTGTAATGTTCAGAATCATGTAGTACATACAAATGCAGCTTCAACTAAAATATCTGTATCTTATTGAACAGGAATTATGGTTGTTCCTTTGGTTGTGGATTAGGAAAGAAAAAAATAGAAATATTTCACAACACACGACTACAAGCTTAGGAGAGCAAAAATGCACTAACATCTTCTGACAATATATATGTATAAGAATATGAAATACCTATGTATGGATAATGAACACATGTATATGTATCTATAAATATCTGTGTTGTATGTTGCTAATATTGTATTTAACTCATTGTGTCTATGATTATAATTTCCTATAATTTTTCTTTCTTTTTAGTCAGTTAACTTCAAAAATTAAGCTCTTTAGCGTTTCCCCTTTGTTCTAACTACTGGAATAACTTATTAAATAATGGAGCTATTCCTGGACTGTTTATAAATCTAATCTGTGAAAACTTCTAGGCTGAACTATTTAGGTTATATTTCATCTAGCAATTCAACACATCTTTAATAGGTATAGTTCCATTCAGATTTTCTATCACTATTGGGTGAGGTTTTCTAGGTCATACATTCTCAGAAATGGTTGATTGCATCTTAATTTTTGTGACACAGATGGCTACCTTCACTAGAAATATCTCCACTCATTTTTCCTGAACACAGGGTCAGGCCACATACTGCCATGACACATGTCAGTGGATGTGTGTTGCTACCACACTGAGGCATTTATGATGTGAGTGTGCTTCATCCCTACTCTTGCTCTTCTACCAGCTAACTGAACACAGAATAAAAACCCTAGTGGATAGAGGCTACACGGGGAGCAAGGAGCCTGAGCTCTGAATCCATGCCCAGAGCTATGAGCTTCAAACAGCAATATGCAATGTTTAAACTAATAATACTCCCAAAATAAACTCAAGTTTATACTTGTGTATGTACTTGAATGCAGTCCCAAGTGTCTAAGTTTGAAACTCAAGTGTAAAACCATAGGGAAAAATAACTGATTATCCTTTATTATTAATATGTTGTCATGTAATTTAGAAGGATATTCTTGCCAGCTGAAATATATTTTCTAAATTTGTGATGCTACTGTAATTTTTTCTTAGATCTCTCCTTTTTCCATCATTAGCATTTATTTTTATGACATGTAAGAGAAGTTGTCTACTTTCAAAAATTCAACTTTCAATGACAGAATATTTATTAAGAAAAGTCTCATAAACAGAATGCCTTTATTTTTTCCCACACCAAAGTTTTTGTTCTGGATTTTTTAAAACTTACAATAATTTGCAAGAATAATACAATAAGCACTTAAAAACCTTTCACTTAACTTCACCAAGTGTTAACATTTTGATATATTTATCTATATGTGTGTGTGTTTATGCTGTAGTTGCTGAATAATTTGATGGTACTTCTAATCAACATGTATTTCACCCCTGAATACTTCAGTGTGTCTCTAAGAACAGAGCTTTCTCCTACATAGCCACTCATGAATGTAATTCTTTACACTCACGAAATTGATACAATAGTATTTGCTATAATGTAAATTTCCCCAAATGTTCAAATAAGATGCTTCAAAGATTTTATTTTTAAATTCAGAATCTAATTAAGTCTCATTGCATTAACTTGTTATGTCCCTTTAGTTTTCTTTAATCTAGAACAGTTTCCCAACTATTTTGTCATTCACATTTACGTTACTGAAGAGTTCAGACCAGATGCTTTGTAGAATTCCTCAATTTAGGTTAGTCATATTTTTTCCCCATGATTAGATTTAACTGAAAACTTTTTGGCAGGAAGACTGTACAGGTGATGTTGTACCCTTTTCAGTGCTTATATATAGAGAAGTGCATAATGTCAGTATATCCCACTGTTGATGGTGTTAAATTTGGTATCTTGTTTAAAATACTGTCTGCCAGATATCTTCATTTTAAAGAAACTCTTCCATTTATACTTAATAAGTAATCTGTTGGGTGAGGGATAACTTTGCTTTCAAACATGACATTTCACCCATAACTTAACATGTTTAACAGATGAAGAGCATTATGTTTTATTTATGAGTTTCATTGAAAGAATAAGAGAGCAAAGGAATCTAAAGCATATTTCAAAGTATCACAGGGGATTTGATGAAGAAAAAAGAAAGGTAAAGTGGATGCAATAAATTGAAAGGAAATTAAAACTTTTTATTACATATTAATTTCCAATTAAATTAGCTATCTAAAGTTTAGTTTGGTATAAAAGAGAGACATTACCAATAATAAAAGTTATTAAACTTTCAAGATTCTAAAAAATGCACAAGGACCCTGTTCAGATATTATCAACTAGTAGAACATTGAGTATCATGATCAATTTGACAAAGGAGATATTTGCCAATAGTAATAAAATTATCTGAGGTGTTTATGTTTCACATTATCAATAACTTTGTCATTCAATAATAATGTCAAACAAAATCTTCATCTGCAGTTGAAGGATTCATACCAGTTTAAATGATTTTAAGACTAATTATATTAGTGCAATTACAGATATATATGTTAAAGTTTATGAATATTATAGTAAACATCAAAATAAAGTATTCTACAAATTGTGGAAACCTGTATTTTATATAAACTTTAGCTGATTTACAAAATGCATACCTATACTTATAAAAATAAAAAAATATAAAATATAGAGGAGCTAACATGAATACTATAAAATCTGTTATTAGTTACAATTGATTATAAGCATAACAATTATATATATATATATATATATATATATATATATATATATATATATATATAAAGGTGAGGCTGGAACAATATTTCACTATCATTGAGTCGTGGAGATTTTATATATATATATATATATTTAAAATGTCATGATTTAAGACCTTTGGAGGAATTTTACCTAAAAGTTTTCAGTAAGATTATCAAGAAGATATTTGTATGCTTTTTAGCATAGATTATATGAAAATCAGTTAATAAAGGATATGGTTTCTGTTGGTATGGTTTTTATAGATTCCATTTTTGTTGTGATTTCAGAACAGTGGGAGAGTGATTTTCTTTAATTTTAATTGATTAGTTATTCTCAATAGCAACTGTGCAGAAAAGAATTAACATAGCAGGCCTGAACTGCTCTCCTTGAAAAGGCCTGCTTGCAAGATTTGCCCTTGACTAGTGCCTGAAAACTTAGATTTCAAGAGGGTTCCCACCATTAAGTAATATAAATGGCTCACTGTACCTAAACTGTTTGTGTAAGCATTATGGTTTATGCTTAACAACTGCTTTCCTTCCGGGGGTCTTGAATTTTGGTATATATTAAGCAGAGGTTGCCTATGTGATTAGCCCTCAACAAAAACTTGGGACTCCAAGTCTCTAATGAATCTCCCTGTTGACAGCAACTCACAGGTTTCATCACAACTCTTTGGAAAGGAAATTAAATGCCTCCTGTGCTATTCCACTTGGAATGCTGACCTTGGAAGTTTTCTCCTGGTTTCCCAAGGACTATGCCCTGTGTACCATTTCCCTATCCTCATTATGCTTTGAACCCTTTTGATATAACAAATCAGAGCCATTGGTTTGTCTGTATGCTGAGACTTGTGAGCCACTCTCTCATGAATCATCCAACCTGGAGGGTTAGTCTTGGGGATGTCTCAACACAGCATTCTAATTAGAATAGTTGGGGTGGTGGGTGATATTTGAGATATACTGTGCCCATGGGCTGGAAGATACAACATTGCTAAGATTTCAACTGACCCCAAATTAATCTATAGATTTATTATAATCATATTTAAAATCCCAGCATACTTTTTGTAGAAATTTCAAAACTGATCTAAAGTTCCTATGTAAATGCAATGACCTAGAAAAACCAAAACAATTTTGAGAAAGGACAAAGTAGGAGTAATGTCACTACCAGATTTTAAGACTTTTTACAAAGATATGGTAATTAAAATTGATTGCTGTTGGTCTAAATATAGACAATAGATCAATGGAAAAAAATAGGTTCTAGAAAGTTTTTCAAAGGCTCAAAAAAATTCAACTGAGAAAGGACAGTCTTTGAATAATGGGTACAAGCAGGTAGGCATGTACAAAAACTTGTGTTTTAATCTGTACCCCACAAAATATATAAAATTTACTCAAAATTGATCATAGTCCTAAATTTAAAACTTAAAACTACAAATCTTCTCTAAGAAAACATGGGAGAAATACTGTGACTTTTAACTTAAACATTAACTTAGTTAATGATTTCTTAGATAAAACATCAGAAAGCATAATCCACAAGAAAACTTGGTAAATTGGACTTTATAAAAATCACTACAAGTGACAATAGTAAAGGAACAAAAAGTTGAACCATGAATGGGAAAAAATGTGTGCAAAATCATATATCTGATAAAGTACTTGTATCCAAAATACATAAAGAACACTCAAACTCAATAATAAAAAAAATTTAATGGACAAGTGATCTAAGCAGACATTCCACAAAAGAAGATACATGAATGTAAAGTGCTCAACAACATTACTGTTTAGGAGAATGCAAGATAAAAAGCACAATGACATACCACTACACATACATTAGAACAGCTGGTGGAAATGTGAAATGGTATAACCATTTTGGAAAACATTTTTACAATTTCATCTTTCAAATGACTCAGCCATTTCACTCCTAAGTATTTACCCAAGAGAAATAAAAGAATGTGTCAATATAAATCCTTCTACATGAATGTTTATAGCAGATTTATTTTGTAATGACCAAAACCCTGAAAACAACCCAGACATTCATCAGCAAGTGAATGGATGAAAAACTTGTAGCCTATCCATTTACTGGAATAAATTAGAAAGAACTATTGATATGTGCAACATCAT